CTCTTCACTGTGAATTATCGCCATCATCTGTCTTCATCTATATCCCCAGGAGCATCTCGGTGCTCAATTTATCTTAAGTCTCAGGAGTTTACACTGTTCAGGAGTGCCTTGTTTGGGGATTTTAGAAGCTAAAATATCTCTGAAATGTTATTTCTGCTCTTCTCTTTCATCATTTTAAAGCTTCTTTGGCTCTTAATGGTGGTTCTTCATTTGGCTCACAGGGTTTTTTGGAAGACTTCCTCTGGTACTGAATTAGCTGGGAGAAGGCAGGTAACAAATACGTGTTGCAGACCATTGCTGAGTTGCAGTCTTATGTCAGCTGGGGTGGGAATCTCAGAGTGCTTTTGTTTTCCCTACTTTCCTTCGTACAACGAAAACGAAGCTGGAATGACACCTAGTGGCAAATCGCACTGTGCCCTTGTCCCAGTACAACCCTCTTCCAGTTACCTTCCCACTGTTTCTGGGTGAGGTGCTCTTAAAGAGGAATCTGGGTTTAGTGTGTGCGGAGTGATGGTCTTGGACCTCATCTGCAGTCCGAGATGTTCAGCAACCTTCTCAGCGTGCCACCATTTTCTCCTATTCTGATCCCAAAGAATAAGCCCATGCGGAGATGGGCATGAGTCCACCTGCACCCGCTGGAAGGGAGCTCTGTGCTGGGGAAAAGCTGTGTGTGGTTAACCCTTCAGTGCCCAAAGGAGATGATCACCAGCACCCTGCCTTGGGGAGACGTCTTAGGGGACACTAGGAGAAAGCAAAGCCTAAAGATGCCAAGGCTGGAATCAGCAGGTCTGGGACTCTCTCCATCATGAGAGATGATGGAGCAGCTCAGGGTGTCGCTTCCCAGCGTATTCTGTTTTGGGGAAGTGCAGTTTTAAGGAGTAAAGGGAATTGCGGTTGGTTGTCTTTTGGAACTTAGCGGTACTGTGTAAAACAATCCCATCGTTTCGTCCTGGGAGTTTGGCTGCTCTCTTAGGGAAGAGAATTACGGCTTCAGGGAACGTGACCTATTAATTCCTTGATATTTTTTTCTTGAGGATTATTGGAAATGAATGTGAAAAGGTCTTCCAGAAATAACATTAGGTGGTCTGCAGACTTGCTTCCAGATTTTTGAGTATGTAAAATATATTTTTCCATGCATTTTGCTAAACCAGCAGTTACTCATCCGTGTTTGATTTCCTTCTCACCCTTCTCAAGCTTCTAAAAACCAACATGTCAACCCAGTGGCAGTAGAAACCCCCCATCCTTCAATCCAGAAGAAGTCTGTGCTGTTTAACACTGAGATTGTGACAGCATCCAGATGGCTCCTGCCAGTTCCTGGACTGTGTTGTTCTTGGAAACGTACAACCGTACGTGAGGGACAACTTTATAGCTTTGTGATGAGAATAAGCCCAGACAAAAGGGCTCCGACCTGCTGCCTGCGGTGGTGATGTGGAAACCAGCTGCAGTGTAGGGCCTGCGTTGCATATTTGTTTTGGAAACGATAAACCCTCAGACTCTAAACTTCTTTGGAATTTGGGTATTTTCTTCTTTTTAGGTCAGTTATTTTCTACTCTGGTAATTGACATTCTTTCTTATACCCCGCTCCGTTTCTTAATCCTGTTTTCTACCCGGATGCTTGGCTGAAGCACTGGCACAGGTTGCCCAGAGAAGCTGTGGCTGCCCCATCCCTGGAAGTGTTCAAGGCCAGGTTGGATGAGGCTTTGAGCAACCTGGTGTAGTGGAAGGTGTCCCTGCCCATGGCAGGGGGGTTGGAACTAGATGATCTTTGAGATCCCTTCCAACCCAAACCATTCTGTGATTCTAATATAGTCAACTTTTAGGTAATGCACAAACTGGAATAGGAGTTGTTAACTCAGCTACTGGGCAGCAACTCTGGATTTGGCTCTGCGGGAGCCGTGGTGAGTCCTGGAGCGAGGTAAAAGCACCTGTACGGTGCCGTGCAGGTGGGAGAAGGTTCCCTTTGAGGGCCCTGCAGAAGATGTTCATCATCAGGTGATCTTGTACAACATAGGACAACTGATGCGTGGCTGTTACAGGCCTCTTACTAGACCATGTGGGGCCGTATTCCTATTTTAAGTGATGATACTAAAGATTTGGAGGCTTTGAGGCGAAGTAAGTTAAAATCTCAATTGTTTGACTTAATTTAGTTTTCTAAATGATGCAAAGCAACGCAGAGATTGGCTTTGCAGGGGGGGGATCACACCTTCTGGAGGAGTTGCAAATTGTCCTCTGGCAGCAGCGTGAGCCCTTGGATTTGCAGGGAGGGTGGTTGTGTCCCGGCCTCTCCCCAGCTTGGCTCATCCCAGAAAATTATCACAAAGTGCCTGTACCACTCAGTGCCGGATTCCCAGCCCCAAGTTGCCTACACCACTCTCGGGAGGTTTTTGGTGCTTTTTTTCCTGACCACTCAGCCTTCCCTCCCAGCCTGGATCAAGAACGCAGCTCCGGGGTGCTCCGCAGGCGGATACCTTCCCATCAGCTGTGCCTTGCCGAGCGGGAAATTCGCCGAAACAAAAATGTGAAGCAGCGGGAGATGCGCGGCGGCGGCATCGTGGAGCCTGGTACCTTCCCTGCTCCGTGTCCCCGCGGTGGAGAGCGCTCTCCCTGCCTGCTGACGCTTTTTTCCTTCTCCCGCTGTCCTCCCCTGCACCGTAACACCGCAGATCCCTCGGCGGCGTGATGGGCAAGATGCAAACCCCATTGCACTGTGCGTGTCCGCTGGACGTGGAAGGGACCCGCAGCCCCGACGAGGTGCCTTAGAAACGAGCACCTCCTGCCAGCACGCCCAGATGCCCTTGAGTTTTCCTGTTGCCTTTCGCTACGGAAAGACACCTCCCGGGAAGCTCTGGGGACCGAAGGTCTTCCGGCACTTGCTGTTATTTTTAGTCGCCAAGTTTCCGGTGCTGGATTGGAACGGCTTGGAAGGAAGTCCGGTCGCATCCCGGTGGTCTCCTAACGGGGCTGTTTGGAGAATTATCCCGTTCTGTGAGTTGCCTTTCGAGTCCCGTCTCTACGTTAAGGACTGTTGTAGGACGAGGTCCGGTCCCTTGTAATTCGTCGGTCCCGTTACAATTAGAGTGTACAGAATTATTTATTTTGTGTACTCGGTCTGCTAAACATGGCAATGTATTCCGTGTACCCCGTCGCTCTGCTGTCCTCATTCCTGGCTCACGGATGGAGCACGGGCTGACTCCTCAAAGGTGCCAAACGATGGTCAGTAAACGCATGGAAAGCTGGGAGCTCCTACCCCTCTGGCATGTTCTTGAGGAGAGCAAGGAGGTACCAAAGTCACCCGTGAAAGAGTTTGCTGCTTTCTTTAACGCAGCTGGGATGTCCACGGGGACGCTCTGGTGGAGCTGGGTGCTCAGCATCTCGCTGGAGGGCAGGGTTTGGAGGCTGAACGGGCACTCTGGGGCATTTTATTCCCTTTTCTTTGGCTGCAAGGTGGCAAACGGGGCCAGAGGAATACCCTCGTTCGCCCGCAGCAGCTCGTCACCGCTGCGGTTTCACTCTGAGCAGCTTTTATGGGTGGACAGGAAAACCTGTAAGGTCGGGTGAAAACTGCCTGTCCCTTTTGAGCCACGTCCTCCTGGAAGGGAGGTGATTTTTCAGGGACAAGGGACCCCGTCCCAGTGGCAGAGGGGATGACGGTGACCTGAACACGCCGAGCGAGTGGCCCGTCGTGCTGCGGTTGATCAATCCCCGTTTGAAGCTCCGTGTGGTCACCAGTTTCTTCTGCCCGTATGGCCCATCCCCACACCATCGAAGGTCCTTTAGGAGCTAACAAAAGCCAAAACGGAGCGTGCTGCTTTCGTGCCGTGGGGTTTATTCCAGGTAGCACAGAGTGAAAGCACACCCGAAATGTCGTGGCAGAGTGCTGAGCCCCCTCGTGCAGCGGCTGCCACCGGCCGTAGGGGACACTTGCAAGGAGCTCAGCCCCTGTGTCCTTCTCCCCTACATCCCAGGTGAGCCTTTCCAAGGCAAAGGAGCCCAAACCAGCAGCTCCACGGGTTTCTTTGCAAGCCCCTGTTGCCCTGCATCGGTTTGCTCCGGTTGCTTTTGCTCCCTGCAGAGCAGACCACTAAATGAAGCTAAATTTTACCCAACCAAGCTAAAACTTCTCAGCCCTGAGCTGTGCTTGAGCAGCTTTTTGTTTTTTAAACTCAAGGATATCAGCCAACCTTTTTGTCTTCTCCTTCCACTGATGGCCTGTAACCCTTCCCATGGGTATGTCTCTGTGTAGCATCACGCTCTCTCTGCGACCGCTCAATACGAGAGCGATTACAACATTTTGGGGGCTGTGATTCATGCAGCAAGGGTTTTATATCGCATTCCCATCACTGATAAAAGAAAAAGAAACAACCCATGCCTCATTTTGGGATGGTCTGATCCTGCTCCTCTCCAGTGTCCTCATGACCAGCTCTATTTGGAGCTTTAAATTTTAAATTTTATATGGATCTTCCATGATCCCATGGACCCACCAGCACCCTCCCTCCATCACAAGCCAAGAAGCTCTTGCTGGTGCTGAGCCTGGTGAGCTGCGGCTCCGCAGTCCCTTCCCTGGTGGGACCAGCTGATGCTGGGGACCTTGCGCCTGGGTTGGACATCACCCACCCTTGACACCGCAGTGGGCTCTGAGCCGGTGCCAGGGTGTGGATCCGTGTGAAGACACCCCTGAGCAGCCCTGGAGCCTCAGCTGGCACTGCTCCCCCTCTGCCTGTGCGTCATGTCCCAGCTTTGCCCCCTCCCAGCTGGGCACCGAGCTCTGGGAGGTGCTGGGGGAGGTCCAGGAGAGGAGGGAAGCCTGGGCCACCCCACGCACCTTCCACCTCGTCTGCGTCGCGACAGGAGAGGGGCCAGAGGCAGCGCTTGGCACGAGCGAACGCTGATGCTTTATTCCGAAGTGGGGTCCCTCACTTCCAGCTCAGCCCCTTGCCAGCTCTGCCGAGCTCACCGTGCCAGCAGCAGTGCCCAGCGAAGGGATCCCTCCGGCACCGGCTCTATCCCTGAGCAACAACGGAGTCGATCCAGTTTCGGAACCGGCTTATGCGGGTGTAGACGGCAGGTGTGCGGACGTTGCAGTTGCTGTTTCCCCAGGAGACGATGCCGATCAAGGTCCAGATGTTCCCATTCTGGTAGACCAGAGGTCCGCCGGAGTCACCCTGCAGAGAAGACACCTCCTGCGTAGTGGTCCCAGCTCCAAACTGGTCCCTCCCACCCCAACTGCCTGGTCCCCTGGACACGGCCAGGTGCTATAGCTTGCAGGTGTGCGGACGTTGCAGTTGCTGTTTCCCCAGGAGACGATGCCGATCAAGGTCCAGATGTTCCCATTCTGGTAGACCAGAGGTCCGCCGGAGTCACCCTGCAGAGAAGACACCTCCTGCGTAGTGGTCCCAGCTCCAAACTGGTCCCTCCCACCCCAACTGCCTGGTCCCCTGGACACGGCCAGGTGCTATAGCTTAAATCTATGACTCCAGAGATGCAAGACCCACCATGTCCTCCTCCTCCTCCATCCTCCCTGCGGTGCAGTGGGACATCAGCTCCTTACCTGACAGGAGGAGGCGCCGACACCGCTGGCACAGAGCATGGAGCTGGTGATCTGGTTGCCCCAGTACTGCCTGCACTGGCGCTGGGAGACCAAGGGCAGGGCTACCTGCTGCAGGCTCATGGCCAAGGCTTGGGCTGGGGGGAAGAAGCACCATTACATTGGGCCAGTGTTGACGGGTCTGCCGGGGCCTTTGGGAGGGCACGGGCACCCTGAGCGAGCTCCTGCTGGTGCTCCCCACCGCCTGGGTGCTGCCATACAAACCGCCTTCCCACTCCGTGCCATCGTACCCTTTCCTCCCCGGGCGGGATCGCCTCGTGCAAGCAGCCCCGAGCAAGGGCAAGCTTGTGCCCGCGCACACTCATCCCTGGGGTCTGCACGCACCCACCTGCGCACGCACCTGCACCCACGTGCATGTGTGTATGTGCCTACATGGAGTTACTCAACGGCACGACTCCCCCTCCCCATGTGCACATGAGACGTCGCCCCCGGCCAGGTGCCCCCGGGCACCCTCGGTCCCTGCAGAGCCCCCAGGAAGGACGGCGGCCACGCGCCGCCCT